AAAAAATTGATATTTTCGCCGAAAATACCAAGGCTATAGCCTTCGTTTTTTGCTAAAATTTTGAAAAAAATTATTTTTCTTCATATTTCAATACAAAGATGACCTTGACGTGCACTATTCAGGATAGACATCCTTTCATGGAAATTACCAATATTTACTCCATAATCCTATATCAAAATATGCGAGCTTCGATTTTTCTTTTTTTCTTCCTTCAGATATAATAAACAAAATAAGGGCTTTAAATATAAGATTATTCAACCCAAATCACCCCCATCTAACAGATCATGACGTCTTATTACAAAATAAACCCCACCTTTTGGATTATGTTTACTCTGAATGAACAAAGCCATTTGGCACAACACACAGAAAACATAATAAATCATTTTAATGGGAAATAATGGACTTCCACCTGCTTTCTCGATGTTGAGAAAGCCTTCGACAGTATGTGTGACACAACGGATTAAAATTTCAAATGTCCCAAATGAAATTATAGTGAGGTATTACTGGATGGCTTTCCAACATTCTAGATAACAGAAAAGGTAGAATAAATGTATCGGGCATTTTCTCAGATTACTTTACTCCAGAGACAGATGTCTCGCAATTTCTGTACTTCTGTTAATTTGATATTTTGATTTTGTGTGGTTTTTAAAACAGGTTCGTGTTATACAGAGATCAATTGTTACAGCTCAGATAAATAGACAATTTAACTCCTAACAAACAATGTATTTTTTCAATGTGTTAGGGTTTGTTAAGAGATGGCGCATGTGTTTTATACAAAGAATACTTACAAATTATTTTACATAATTACTAGTATTATTTTCAATCATCTACATATTTCTTTTATCGTAGTGATACTTTATTTTCAATGAAAAGTAAACAATAATTCTTTATTTGAATGTTTTAGTAAGTTGCCTTCACGTGTGTAAACTATAATAGAGCATGCGTTATATGTATTCTGAACTGCCGAACACGTAACGAAAAGTTGGTGTTGTCATTTTGTGCATATGTAAATTTAGATCAATCATTTATCATTAAAACTATATTGCAGTAAGATGACAGAAAAGCTACAACAGATCCTAATACTTGATCCACAATCAGAGTTACACTTTAATGGTAAGAAAACATATGTAACATCAGACAACTTAAAGTGCATACTTTCGATTATCGCTTCCGGATAAAGATATTAGCCGTTTTTACGTTGCCTACCGGTGTTGTTAAGACTAGCGTAGAGCTCCAAAGTTACACTAACATTAGGCCTAACGATAAATAGTTAATACGAATAAGGTACTTTTTAAGGTAGTATGTTATTCTAAGTAGGATAAAAAAAAGCTGATACAAATTCAGTATATTATTATTTAAAAAAATATTACAATCATTGTTAATAACTACATACTACAGTATCAGGTTTGAAAATCAATTTCATATATATTGTTACTCGAATAATACTATCAATGATACTATTACTATTAGTAGAACTAGAAATTAAAATAGCAATAACTTGAATAACTGATGTATATTATATGTAATATTACTACTCATTAAGTAAGTAAATTAATTTTCATGTTTTTATGTACACTTCTTTTCACAGGAAGATCTTTTTAAATTTAAATACTGAACACTTTTTTTTAAACACCTACTTATGTATAACTGGCTCCCAGATATTCTGTTTTCGTGTTTAGAAAAATTAATAACTCAAGCCTAATTAAGGTTTAACAGAAAATTCTGTACAGAACTAGAAGTAAATCTGAATTTTCTTATTCTTAATAAGTTTAAAGCAAGGAAGAGATAGAACACAATGTAAAACAGTTTTGTCTGTACACACACAGAGTTCACAATGGTTTTGATTGGATCATGGATGCACCACATAAAGAAGCACAATAACATACACAAAATTCTATAGCTTCATTCCTCTCTGTGTGTGCAGACACTAGCCACTTAACTGTTGGTCATTCCAGTAGAAAAACCAGGGGGATATATTCTCAAAGTTTCATCTAATCCACACAAGGAAAATAAAATCACTGTGTACATTCACCTTTAGTAGGATCATCATAATCCACCAGGTGCACACGATCTGTATTGCCGTGCTTTCTGTATTCGGAACTACTTGCCCTTGTTAATGAGGAAAATGCCATAGAGCCACAAAGTTTGGCATGGTTTGTATAAGTTTACGATTTGTCACCCAAATATATTTTGTTTTCAAATAGCCTTATGTTAGTATATGATATAATGTTATTGAAAACCTAATGGTAATCTTTGGGAATGCTTAGATTTAAATGCCTTTTGAGGCTACTGTAATGAGCTGTATGCTGTTATTGGATTTAGAGAACAACATAGTAACCACCATGTTGCTGAAATATTTAAAAATTAATAAGTTACATATTATAAAAACTAGCCTTTTTTTTCAAAGTTCAATTTATAGTATGTATTATCCAATTGGTGGAGAAATGGTGAAGATCTGAGAAAAACTGTTTGCTTTGTTAAGTGTTATTCAGGCTTAACTGGTTATTGATAACTTCCCATGTTTGTAACTGTGACTAATGCCATAACTTTTTTCCTGATGGACGTAGAGTTGTAATTCAAAGCAAGGTGGAGTGAATGTTGTGTTATGTACAAATGCACAGTTGACTTTGGTACACTACTTTTACCCTAATTACTTATTGTTCTGGGTCATTCCCTTTTGGTATCACAGGTGCTTTCTCGTAAGAAAGACTACTACATAATACTAGGAACACAAACTTGTTCCAGTACTTTATAATTTGAAAATATAATCTAATGGTATTTATTCAAATACACTTGGGTTTTATTAATTTAAATTTATGCAGTTTGCACAATACATAAAAATGGATTACTACAGTTTTCAAAACTTTTTATACACACATTTCTAGCCATGTGTAATTTTAACAATAAACTGAAGGTCATGGAATGAAACTTACAATGTTTTTCTATAAATTTTTTATTTAAAAAGTAAGAAGGTTGATGTAGTTTTATTCTAAGACAAACCTAAATCAATTTCTTCAGACTCCCTTAGTGGCACAGCAGTATGTCTGCAGACTTAAAATGCTAGAAACTGGGTTTCGATACCCGTGGTGCGTAGAGCACCGTTTGTGTAGGTTTTTGCTTAAACTACAAACAATTACAATTATTTCTCCATGGTTTGATATAAGACAACAAATATTTTGAATGTTTCTTGCATCCAAAAATCATTGTTTTTAGGGGTGAATAGACAGTGTCTGAGTAATCACCAACCCGCTAGTCGTACTTCAGTGATTGGTGAATTACTAATCGATACGTAAAGAAATTCTACAAGAACTCGACAATTAACTAATAATAGATTATCTGATTATATTGATTAGTGTCGAGTACTATAATTAGTGTTTTAACTACCCAACTGTTAGAACAGATTTAAAGGAAGATCACGTGTTACAAATTTTATTGGAAAATGTTAATTAACTTTAAACGTGGTTGATGCATAAGAGTTATTCTTGGATTTTCACGTGGCTTTTGATGAAGAAACTCCTTAGGATTGTTCTATTTGATTGGGCAGGAGATAAGCCAGTTAAAATTAATTGGGAGATGGTTGGGTGAAGGCAGAAGATGTTTATTAATTGGGTATAGTCACAGTGGATTAATGCTACAAGTGGTGTACCTGTGGGCTCGTCACTGAGGTCTTTGTTCTTTCGGATTCCAAACCTCTATTAATCTTAAAATTCTGTTAATGTTTTCTTTTGGAGATTTTGTAACAGCTATTTTCTCCGCTTTCTTCAGCATCCTCATCGGCATTACTTGTAAAACAATTAATATCGTGATCACCAATGATAAAAACTAAACGACCGGGTGTTACCTCTATTCACGTACAAATCTCTCCACAAAACTACAACACCCCCATCACAATTTCAAATACTTATTAATTTAATATAATCTACACTCCAACCAAATCATCTTGTTACTTCATTATTAATAGAAATATATATATCTAGATGACATTTTCATAAAAGTAGATGCAGGCATAAGACAAAAGATATGGAAGACTTCAGTTAATTTTCCAATAGGACGTTTGGACAGTCGAGTTCTAAGCCTTTTTGTCTGTTTGAAGCTGCAACATTGGAGGATTTTAAGAGAAGATTGGAAAAAAATCGGGGTTGGATATAGGAAAAAGAGTTACTATATGTAGTTTTTACTGGGGTGGTATTGGAAAATGAGATAACCTAAACGGACCAAATGGCCTCATTGTTATCTGTTGAAGATTAAATGAAAATATATATATATATATATATAAAATTAAAAGTAAGACTTTGAATAATGTGACTAGCTAGAAAAAAAATTGCAGGTTAAGGGATACAAAGAGGAAACTTAGAATTTTGACATCACAAACATCTAATTTGAACCAGTGCTGCATTCAACATAACACGTGATACAAAAAATCAGTGTTTAGCCATGTTTTTTTAATATTTGCTTTTAAATTAAGAAATTGAGTAATGTATAATACTAAAATTTGAATTATAATCTACAATTTGATACCAAACTTATTAACATAGATTCATAAAATAGTAGTTCAATAAAATTTTGAATGCTAGTCAACAAACACGATGACATGGCCTCTGAACCACTGACCTGTCTGGAGAGGGTTAAGACAGTGTTTGTATTTAAAATGTGTCAAATATCTAAGTGATGAAACTACAGCAGTTCGTATTGTTTCGTGATACTTAAGCAGTTATACAATGACCCATGCTGTAAAACTTGGTGACTGTATGTTTATCTGTACTTTAAATTATTGAGTTTTACTTCACTCATGACCCATGCTGTAAAACTTGGTGACTATATGTTTATCTGTACTTTAAAGTATTGAGTTTTACTTCACTCATGACCCATGCTGTAAGACTTGGTAACTACATGTTTATCTGTACTTTAAATTATTGAGTTTTACTTCACTCATGACCCATGCTGTAAAACTTGGCAACTACATGTTTATCTGTGCTTTAAAGTATTGAGTTTTACTTCACTCATGACCCATGCTGTAAAACTTGGTGACTACATGTTTATCTGTACTTTAAATTATTGAGTTTTACTTCACTCATGACCCATGCTGTAAAACTTGGTGACTGTATGTTTATCTGTACTTTAAATTATTGAATTTTACTTCACTCATAACCCATGCTGTAAAACTTGGCAACTACATGTTTATCTGTGCTTTAAAGTATTGAGTTTTACTTCACTCATGACCCATGCTGTAAGACTTGGTGACTATATGTTTATTTGTACTTTAAATTATTGAGTTTACTTCACTCATGACCCATGCTGTAAAACTTGGCGACTGTATGTTTATCTGTACTTTAAATTATTGAGTTTTACTTCACTCATGACCCATGCTGTAAAACTTGGCGACTACATGTTTATCTGTACTTTAAATTAATGAGTTTTACTTCACTTGTACTAAAACATTATTTTTTTTTTTGCAGGCCCCTTCACAGGTGTAACAACATTGCAACTTAAACTTTTCAACCCCTCAGAACGAAGGGTTTGTTTCAAGGTGAAAACCACAGCCCCAAAGAGGTACTGTGTAAGGCCCAATAGTGGTCTGCTCGAGCCAAAGCAGACTGTGCATGTGGCCAGTAAGTATGATTCTGATTATGATGAAATGAACATCGTATAAAATCATGCACACTTGTAAAACTGTCTTTGTATGGATCAAATTGAACACTATATATTGAATCACTCTTAATGTGGGTAAATCTTCAAAGTTTTAGAAAGACTTCAATTCTGTATTCCGTGCTGTTTAGAAGTGTCCGACTTTTCTGTAAAGCTGCTGAAGTAGTTTTAATACATGAAGTGAAAAGAACCACAGTCTACCAGAACATTTTTTACGTTGCTATGTATACGTGTAAAGCCTTTAACACTTAAGTTATCTACTTGCTTTCATACTGTTCACTACTAGAGGCCTCCACCTGTTGCATAACCTTTTGTTTTTGTCTGTGAAAACACTGTCTGTATAAAGAATGGACCAAAGCAATTAGATGATTTTCTGTGTGAAATACATAGTAGTAATTAATGGGGTTAATTGTAATATTTCTTCAAGTGGTACACTAGTAGTTTTGAAAAATGTATTTCCAAAGCCAGTGGTATCCTAACTAGTAATTGTAAGTTTCAGTACCCTGTGTAGAAGATTGTTCTGGAAAAAAAAAAAAAAAATTGCTTAAACAAATGTGTACTGACAAATGTTGACCGAAGAGTATTTTTTTATAGGATGTGGAAAGATTGAGTCAGATATGCAGGTTAAGGTTTAAAATAAATCTCAGATCTATACACTAGTTTATACAGGTGTGTGAAATTCAAAAAAAAACTCTTGTTCAATTGACAAAAATGCTTGTCATTCTGAAAGACCGACTTTATCGTCTTCGTTTCATAGAACTTTTTTGAATTGTGTTTTTATTCAGCGATGAATACAATCTGGCAGCTCAGTTTTGGTAGGAATAGTGTATAATGTAAACTTTAGTCAGTAGGATTGTTAAAGTGAATCGCATAGAATACTCGAAACACGAAATCGTGATTTACATTAACGTTTTCACAAACAAAAATGGTGTTTAATATACGTATGTCTAAAACAGTTGTAGCAGTTAGGTTTTACTGGGCACCTTGTGTAGACAAAAGCAATGTAGTAATATCATTGCTTTAATTTACACACCTTTGTTACTGTTGTGTGTGTGTGACTGAGGTTTTATGTAACTTATGTTAATAGTTCTAGAGGCATGAATTGTTAAATGTTTTTCGTGCGTTTACGTTAAGTTTTCACAGTTCAGAATTTTCAGGAACTTGTGTGGCTCCATCGAAATCACATGGAGTTTTTTTGCAGCAATAGAACGAATTATATGAGAACCAGAAACTATTTATCTAATGGGTAAAGTATAATGCTAAATCTTGTTGTATCGGGTGTCGGGCGATATAAGTTCTACACCTCCGTTTTTACCTTGATTAAAATTCCTTATGAGAACTTTGGTTCTTATGAGGCTAAGAAAATGCGGAGTTACTCGGTTTTATTAGCCGCCTTCTGTTTTAGTGTTTGACTTTTTTAATAATGGCTTGGAAAAATAAATTATAACTGTTAATACATGTTTTGTAGGCTCACTTTTTTTTTTAACTTTGTGAATAAAATAAGAACATTTGATATAATTATGCCTTAGTTGTTTGAATATAGTTGTCAAATTTTTCGTTTGTTACAGTTATGCTACAGCCATTTGATTACGATCCTAGTGAAAAGAATAAACACAAGTTTATGGTACAAACGATGTTTGCTCCAGAGGGTGACGTAAACCTTGAAACGTTGGTAAGTTCCTACATCTTAGCTTGTTTGTTATGAGAGAGTATAATCGTAACATAATAACGTTCCTAAGTCACCACAGTTATATTTATATTGTAGAGTGATGGCACACTCTTCCCTGTCATCCCTTCGATTGTAATGGTACAAACAATGTTTGCTCCAGAGGGTGACGTAAACCTTGAAACGTTGGTAAGTTCCTACATCTTGCCTTGTTTGTTACGAGAAAGTATAATCCAAACATAAATAATAACGTTCCTAAGTCACCACAGTTATATTTATATTGTAGAGTGATGGCACACTCTTCCCTTGGATCCCTTCGATTGTAATGGTACAAACAATGTTTGCTCCAGAGGGTGACGTAAACCTTGAAACGTTGGTAAGTTCCTACATCTTAGCTTGTTTGTTATGAGAGAGTATAATTGTAACATAATAACGTTCCTAAGTCACCACGGTTATACTTATATCGTAGAGTGATGGCACACTCTTCTCTGTCTTACAATCGAAGGGATTTTACGTCACCCTCTGGAGCAAACATTGTTTGTACCACGTTGGTAAGTTCCTACATCTTGCCTTGTTTGTTATGAGAAAGTATAATCCAAACATAAATAATAACGTTCCTAAGTCACCACGGCTATACTTATATCGTAGAGTGATGGCACACTCTTCCCTGTCATCCCTTTGAACCTTGAACTTACTTCCATGTTTTTTACTTGATGTTTTGTGTACCTTTTGTGGCTTTGTTTATACAACAAGTTACTTAATATGAACCTTGTATTTAATGGAAATAATAGTCTTAGGAAGTTCTTCAGATAGTTACAGAAAAAAACATTATTATATGGTAGAATTAGAGGACACAGATATAAGTCTTGGCAGGGTAAGATGACTTTATTCTCTAACTGGCTTTTGGAATTTGTTGCCATCAGATGTGGTAGATGCTGTTAATTTCAGGGAAGACTTGATAAATATTTGAATGATAAGGGATGGTTTTATATTTTACTATAGATGTACCAACAGGTACTTGTTGTCCTTCAATTATATTTATGTAATATTGAAATAAGAGTTGATATTCAAACTGTCTTCTTAGTGGAAAGAAGCTAATACAGAGAACCTAATGGATTCCAAGCTAAGATGCGTGTTCCATCTCCCCAGTGACAGCACGACACCGGTAAGTCAGTGTCTGTATAACAGTAGTTCTGTGAAGTAAGGCACTGTATGATAGCAGAAGTGGACGATGTATTAAGCTGTAGAATGTTATTAGAATATAAAAAAAAATGTCATTATTTTATGTCCTAGTACTCGTCAATTTAAGGATTCATTTAATTTGACTGTTATTGTACTACCTATTTGTTTTCTACTTTGACCTTGTTGTGTTAAAACAAAAGACAGTAGTATAAAAAAACTGCGTGGGACTTTGTTGTTTGGGATACATCATATACTCTGTTTTACTCTAGCCCTGGACAACATCTAACTGCTCATTCTGATAGCTTAAACCCCTCTGTTAGCTCTGGATTTTATCTTTGTGTCCTGTCATTCTAAAGGATTAGTTAATTGTGGCTGCAGTGACGTTAAAATTGAGCATGTTCGGGGTAGCTTGGCGTGAGCACGGTTTCCTTGTTCATTGATATTTAATTGACTCTTCCGTGATGTGTTTGTTTAGTTGTGGTTCCATGCCCATAAACGATATACTTCTAAACATTTGTACATGTGTAGAATTTCTGTGTACCACATTTTCAGATTTTTGTTGACTAGATTAAACCTTCATGGATCAACTGTCTGTCTTTTTTTTTATGGGGATCTTTTCCCCCCACCCCCACAAGGATTTTTTGGGATCCAACTTGGAGGTTATTGACTTTTTAGTCATTTTGACAAAGTTTACCTGACATACAGAAAAAAAACCAAGTTTTTCTATTTTTCAGAGGTTAACACATAAATAGCTCACCATACCAGAGGTTAATGCATAAACTAGCCCACTGTACCAGAGGTTAACACATAAACTAG